CTGATGTCGTAAAACACTTTCGCGACGAACGCTTTGACAAATCTCGAGTTGCGTTTTTCTTCGATAAATATTTCAAAAAAGAAGAGAAGAGAGAAGTGTTTTAACTCCATTCTTAACATTAAGTATATTATCAATATTTCGTATTAATTTGAAGCGCGTCACACACACATACAAGGAATCTATTATAAAATATTTTTTATGATATCAATGGCGTCATTTTCCGGTAATTATAAAACGTTATATTGTCACATCAAGAATTTAATAATATTTATATAAAAAAAGTACGGAAAATCGGAATTAACTCCAAGAAGGGTCTTGTGAATTTGCCGATAACACGCTAAGGCGTTCACGATACAAACGTTTCTTACAATTGCGCGATAAAAAAACAGATACGATAATTTATTTTCAATGAACTGTCGAGAATGAAGTCACTCAACACGAGAACGAGAAGACACGAGTTCTCCGTGCCTTTCCTGTGCGATAAGAATGTTTACATTTCAGATTAGCGCCAAATGTGACAACGAGCAGGTGTCATAGGTGTGTCGCAACAAAATACATATGGATTACGCAACAAAGCGTCGTCACATCATTAATACCTAGCGGGACAATAGAACGTATAAGGGGAAACGGAAGGATACGTTCGTGCGAAGGAAAGTGCGGCATCTTTCTTATTCACAAGAATGACAGCATTTGACGATAATAAACCGTGTCGCGAAAACGAATTGTTGCGTAACGAACGCATATTGTTTTGCGTTAAAAGCTAACGAAACACGTGTAAAACGCTGTGACGACACAAATATGACATCAATATCGGCTGACTGTGCAGAACAGATGCATTGCAATTAAAGCATTTTTGCCACGTAAGCTATCGGTGCTTAATCGATTAACACCGAATCGATAAATTAATCGGGATCGCCTTAATTATAAAAAAAAAAAATAATCGTGACTGATTCAATTAATTAAGCAATTGGCGAATTAGCCGTCACTGGCACTGTGTTAACTCTCGCTCTCGTTCCGATTACTGATACGGTTGTTATCAATCGGCGCGTGTTCGCGGTTGTTACCGCTGGGATTAATCCGTGTGCATTTTTAGCAACACGACATACGTGCCTCCGCATATTTATATTATTTACATATCGCGAGTTATTTCGCACTCCTTCGACGAAGTTATTGTGCAATCTTTTCGCGTAGCTATAACCACAGTTGACTGATAGAGTTCACCTTTTTACAAGTAATACGAAGAGAAAGAGAGATTGTTTATTTTCGACAATACTATTACGCAATAAAAAGAACTGGCCGTGCGTTATGGCCAGAGTTGTTGCACCTTATCGTTTTACGGTGTCGTTAAAACGGCGCAAACACATCGTGAATGTATAACGGAGCGTTTTACTGTCGCGCAAGTCATGTTGCAATGCCGCGTTTGCTTTAGCGATGGTTTCAAACGATTTTCATTGTTTTCCACTTTTCTTTACTCCACGCTTTTACTATGTACATCTTAACGTAAATGCAATGGTTTGCCATATCCCGATATCGAGAATTCGCAATCGATTGCGCGCGCGAAGGCATATATATTAACTCTCAGCGGACTTCTTTAAACATTACGATATAAAAAACGTTGCTTAAAAAATGTAGTTATATAAATCAGTCGTAAGATTGTACAATTAAGATTATTTTCTTATAAATCTTTCCCAATTTTCGTAAGATCTCTTTTTAAAATTATATAAACTGTAATTATATAAACTGTATATGACATCAAAAGCTTAAGAAAATTTATGACGCCTGCTGAGGATTAATATTATGCGGCAAATTGAACTCTCTTGTTTGGTTGGATAACAGCTAACGGTTAAAAGGAGCAGATGCTAAATCTTCTTTAAGAGATCTATAAAAATATACCCCATCGTACTATTATATATACAGACCGTATATATAAAGACTTCATCTTCATAAAAATTAAATATCCCTTTCTTTTTTAACCGAGAAAAGACTTTCAACTTGAGAGGGAAATCGAGAGGAGAATGGAACAAATGTAATTTCCAGCCGCACAAATAGTTACGCATGCTCGCGAGAGTATTTCTCTAACCGCAATATTGCAATGGAGATCCATCGATCCTCTTCGATCTCACGACCCGTGAGAGATTCCTACCATTCGACTTCTCTCGATGTGCCTCGAGGTATTACCGGAGTGAAAATAGAGGCGTCGCTTTATTATATCGCGATGAGTTGTACTAGGACTGTATCGATCGTCGTAAAATTTGAAACGTGCGAAATATCAAACAAACGGACCGACTCTGCACCGTCCAGTTTCCAGTCGCAAACAAATCCGGGAATTCTCTCATCGTGACAATCATGATAAGTTTGATAAAAATGATACATACTGATACAGACCGATAACGAATAGATAAATAATGTAGACTTATCTAATTGATCGAATAAAACGTATAAATTGCGAATACTTGTATTAAATATCACGAAAAATTCCATTAAATATTTAATTAAATATGAACGAGTAAATAAAATATATTTAACAATTCATAATTGCTTTGTTTTCTTTACTTATTAATTTAAAAATAATACAGTTTATTAAATTAATGTTTCCGAAAATATTCAGATTTATATGTATATTAAAGTTATAAAAAAAAAAAAAACCGAGACTTTAATTGTAACTTTTTAACATAAAAGTAATGACAGATCTAAACCGTTGCAATGCAAAAAAAAAAATCACAAATATGCGTATTTGCCATCCGACGTAAATGTTTATGCATCGATGAGAAAGAAGTCGGATAGGAATGCCATAAAATATTAAATAATCTCTCAAGAATCCGAGTCTCTTAAGTAACAGAGTGTTGGACGATAAAATAACGCCAATCGCAATACGATATCGAAACGGTTGATAAATTGTTAAACGTATAGCGGGAGATGTCATTGAGGAGGCAGAAAGGGAGAAAATCCCGGACCATGAGTTGCTTACGAATTAGCAAAGTCCACTTAATTAAAGAATCAATGACCACGCATTAATGAAATACGCACTTCACTGCTCGGAGGCTCCAAAGACCTTTAAGAGTTCATTCTTAAAGCGGTTTCTAATTATTCACTTTCTCCGCAGCATAACGATCGAGATTTACAGATTCGCGTCGCGGTCCACGTAATTTCCCAATGATACCTTCGAACGCGGAGACGACAGTTAACAGAGATAGTCGCAGGTAATCGAGACAGTCTCCGCGAAGTCATTCACCGAATAACTTCCTCTTTTTATGACAAGGGCGGTTTATGCAGAGGTTTGAAGTAGCAGTAAATAATAGAAAACGTTTATTGCTGCCCTCAAGAGTCTTTTAAGAACTAAGAATATACAAATACTACATTGCAAAGTCTCGAGACTTGTATCGTGGGAAACAAATGTCGATAACATCAATAGCTAACAGATGTGTGCTAAATAAAAAGCATTTCTGTAATTGTGTAATAAAAAATAAAGTTATAACGCGCGCGCAAATAAAACAGTGCTTTCATCGAAGAGAATCGTTATCGGAATTTTACATGCGGCAATAATCCGTGAAAGCGCTCTTGATTAGGGATAAATGGAAAAATCGTAGCAAAAATCGGAGCGGTCGGCCTGTCATGAAACATCACATGAAAGATTATAGCAAGCGAGAGACTAAGATCGAGGCCAGAGACGGTCACCATAAGACCGCTTTCTACTCGCGCCTTTGCAAGCAGGATAATACGAACACTCTCGATACATGTCGATAATTATCGATCCTATAAAAATCTCGGCTATAATCAAGAATATTGTATAGTCTTAGTCTTTAAAGATATAAACGTCAAACGAAGAAATTGCGCGTTCCTTGGCATTTTCCCGGGAACAATTTAATTCGTACGTATATACTATTAATGATAATTACATGCAATATTTTCTAAGAAATTACACACGAAACTGTCGTAATACGGTGATAAACAAACGCAGTTTCGCAACAACTAAAGATTCTTGTTGATCTTTGATAGTAAGGATTTAACTATATCTCGCTTGACATTTCCTTCATAATTCAAGAATATCGCAGCGCAATCATTTTTTCTTAATTAATAAGCAATCTCTTCTACACGAATTACAACAAGAACCTCACGGTTGTTTTTAAAGGTTACCGTATATTTGCGATATAACAACGTTAGTGACTTTATGAATTATTATAATTTTTACAGAATTGTCAATCTTCTCTCTCGACATCATCACGTTTTCAATTAACGGTACTGTCCCCGGATCCTCGACACGTCAATCAAATCGCACATGTCGCGGCGGTCTTTGACAGAGAAAATTGCAACAGCCGAAGGAAACTGTTTATAGGCGGTCCTATTAAACGAACATAAATCATACGACCGACACCTTGGCAAACCGGCATCCGTGTTTCTGCATCTCTTGGCGAATCGCCGCGGCTAACGTCGATAACGACTTCGGAAGCCTTCGTTTCGGAAAAATTTTGATTCTCCAGCGCGACCGAGACGTCAAAATGAAAAAGGGGTGTTCATATAAAGTATTAACGATCGTTTCACGTCGGAGAAAGTTTAGAAAGGAACAACATTCGTGCGCGCGTGCACGCGCCGCCATAAATGTAAAATAAAGCCGAAACGATTTCGTTTATATACGTGTTTCTCGAAGTCACGTTTTCGCGAAGTGAACCGTGAGCGCGAATCGCATCGCGAGACCGTGGAAAAACGTATCGTGCGGGTCTTTCCGGCGGGTTGAGGATACGAGAAGAACGGCTTTATCCTCACTTTCTCGATAATGAGCAAATTGCGCGGCCCGATCTACATCTCGCAGCCCGATCTCCCGCAATCGATAAAAGCAATCGTCCGATAATGTAGCCCTGAGCATCGAAACGGAAGTGATTGATGAAATCGATCGCGGCGCGTTCCGGTAAGCAAAAATCCTTTTCTGCCGCCTCTATGGTGTAATTCAATAGGATGTCCGATAAAGAATATCAATCTTTCTTAAATGATAAAGAAAAACTCACCTTTGTCCGGTTCAGTGGGTTTGAAAAGTCCCATCCAGGCGCGACAAACAAGTATCCACATTTGGAAATCTTCCTTGTAGCCTGAAACGAGAAATAGTTTATTTTATAAATACTTGCTTGCATTATTGTTTAATGATATAGTTGGAAATTGATCTTTAAGCGGGAAAAGATATGTACATATATATAAATGTAAATAGTTTTAAGAGTATTTATGCGTGATTTCAAGTTGATAAAAATTTCTTAGTTAAAAAAATTGGTGAAGGAAATAAAGTGTATAACAATTTTCTAAGATAAGAGGAAAATAATACAATATATGTCTGAAAAGAATTCAATTCTCCCGAAAATTTCTCGAGAATTTTCGTTGTAATTCATATGAGACGAAAAAGAGACGGATTCATTAAAAATAATTTATTTAAATGGAAAATTATAAAACTTTTCATAATTTAATAATGTGTCCGCATTGGAAAAAAAATTATTAGCTTTTATTCTCGAAAAATTACCACTCACCTATATCCATTATATAGCACAAGCAATCAAATTCATATTTGATGCGCTTAATCTAATAAAATGCCATCGTACAATTGCGTTAAGTTATAACTGGACTATAACGTGCACAACATCAAGTTAAATAAATCTACGTCTTTCGAGAGTGTTCAAAGACTTATCCGACGTAATCATTCGCGCGGCAATCAGTGCGCAATAATTCGACACTCGTTATAACCTCGTAGTAGATAATACCGCGTAGATAATGGCCATCGCGCCGCGGTTACACGATGAAGCGGCACGGCCGGCGTGGCCAAACTGGCAAAAAGGCCACTCTCTCGTGCGAACAAGTAATACGTCGTCTCCCATTGCGCGGCAATCTCGAAACGAAGCGATCATCTCTCGCGAAAGGATCGTAACAAGAACGAGAATTCGCTCGGCTTTATGGAGAAATAAAAGCTGCTCTACGTACGAGAGGCGTTCCGCGCCTCTCTCCTTTGGCAGAATTATGGCACTTCCTTGTACGGATTAAACGAAAGAACGTCGGGCATCCGCGACAAAAACACTCGATATCTAAACAGTAAACACATGCCGAAGTCAACAAACGAGCGAACCCGGATCGCAAGATAACGCGATAGTCCAGTAAAATAGTATCAAAAACACCGAATATCTACAAAACGGATAGACAAGCCAATTTTTTGAGGGTGAGTAGAAGGTCATAGGAGATGCCCGAATTCACAAAGTTCCAACAAAATTTCCCTGTGCGTCGGCGGCCATCTTCAAAATAGGGGTAAGTTTGGATATCTCGACTCCTATTGGTCGAATCTTTTTCCTTTTTTTTAGTTTTGTAGGAAAAAATATTTGCTACAACTTTTGTTTGAAAATTTTTTTAATAGCTGTCAAGGAAAGAAAGTTACAACCAAAAAAATGCCGTCAATTTGGGGTTGAACATTTTTATTGACAATTATATTGCCCCCTGTTAGTTTTATCAAAAAAATGTTCAAATAAAACTTGTAGAGGACTCACTTCTCTACAATTTTCGTATATCCGCTTTTGCGGTGACTCAAAAAATACCAGAGATAGAGGGCGCCAAAGTTGACTATGTCTAGTAAATGCTATTTTTCGTGAGGAAAATTCCCGTTTTTATTGTAAATTGTCGTACATTAAAACTCTTTTCCGCACCACCAGTGAGATAGAGTTCCAGGCGCATTTTTTTTATGTGGTATCCCCACAAAAAAAAAGGAAAAAAATTCGACCAATAAGAGCCGAGATATCCAAACCTACCGCTATTAAAAA